CAAGGATCAGCTATTTGACCCTAGACTTGCAACCTCATTTAGTAATCTGGGGTCTCGGAAGATCAAGAAAATCATAGGAAGGAGTAAAATCAAAACAAATAAGAAAAGATATCAAATCCATGATATGGGCCCTTCTATATCACTTTTGGTATAATGAACAAATAAGCTTGGGATCATCGTTCAGGAATATGTTTATCTATTCTTTAAGGTGTTAGATGTGTTTAAAAACAACCAGGCATACTAAATGTATGACATCAATGTAGATGAAGGGAATTTAAATAATCACCTTTGTGTCAGTATTTAATACTCAAGAACTGGTTTAAACTTAGTGTAAATAGTGATGAGATTTTTCTCTGTGCACAAAAGTCCTTCCAATACTAAAGAACCTACCAAGCTAGTGCAGGCTGGTGCTGCCTTTCCTCATCTGATGGTCCTTAGTGAGAGCTCTCCACTTTACTGGGAGATAGGTGGTCGGGGCTGGTTCTCTGCCTCAGCAATCCTTCTGAGCAGGACTCTCTTCCACTCTTGCTGTCACACCTGGTCCTGGAACTGGAGGGCCAGCAAGAGAGCAAGATAGAGGAGGGAGAGCATTCTCATGCACCACCCAAGAGGCGAGGCTGTCTGGCAGCAGGAACCAGAACGGGTAGTGGAGAGACCTCAGATGCCAAATACAAGTACATCTTTTGGGAAGATAAGGTCACTCTACAAAGTCTGTGAACTTAGGTCAGGTTGGCGTGTAGGTGAAAGGGAAGGATTTTCCAGGTCTCACCTGGTTGCCTAAAAGTCACGGTGATGCTCCTCTATTTAACTGCTTTACTCACAGCCAAAACTGACTGGTTGTTTGGTCTCTGCCCTTTCTTTTTGATGTGTTCTGCTTTTTATTTTTTGGGTGTTTTGTTTTGTTTTGTTTTGTTTTGTTTGAGATGGAGTCTTCCTCTGTCGCCCAGGCTGGAGTGCAGTGGCACGATCTTGGCTCAAAGCAACTTCCACTTCCCAGGTGGGGAAGCCAATTAAAAACATTGAAGGCTGAAATACAGAAAAATATCCTTGGGAAAATGTGGCTTCATGAAGCAATAGGAGTTTAGAAGAAAGAAATAGACTATTTTGGTTTTGAGGGCAGGAAAAGACTTCATGGTGAAACACAGAGGTATTTAAAACGTGAGTAGATTAAAAGAAGGGGTAGAGTACAATGTTCAGTGGAGAGAATAATATCAGGGCAAGAAATATGCAGGGTCAGGTCCACCTCCACTGAATTTAGAGGAATGGATGTTGCCAGAGAGAAGCATGGAGTAGAATTGAGGCTAATGTGCTGAGAAGCATCCATCAATCCAAGGGAAAGGGTCACATGAGGATGGAGCCTCCCTGCTCCTCTGTTGGATAAAGGCACACTGGGAGCACCACATGTGGCTTCTGCTACTGCAGTCTAGGGTGGGCAATGACTGCTGCAAACTCTAGGGACAGAGAAACCAGGGAGAGGTGTGAGGGTCTCCAAACAACCAGGGCCACTTGCTCGGCCTCAAGTAACACCCAGAACTGTTCACTGAGATGCATGAACATTCTACGTTCACTGATGACATGCAAGGGATTTTCTACCTTGAACCACTCGTGTGGTGCAACAATGAATAACGAATAAGTCAGATGCCTCATCCCTATAAATGTAATTACCCAAGAGGGCAGCAGCCCTGTCTCTGTGGGAGGATAGGAGCCTTACTCCAACAAGCACAAATGAGCAAACACTGATGGCCCAATCACACTAGCCAACTTCCCTCCTAGCGACCTCCAGAACTATCCTGCTAGCTCCCCACAAGGCTTAAAATCTCCTGCCTTTGGTTTGAGGTAAGTTGAGTCCAAGGGCTCTTCCTATTACAATGTTTCAACTTCTATTGCAACAGTCTTCAATAAACATTTCCGTGACATTTCTTGAAAGTCTTGCTGAAATTTTTCTTTTACAAGAAAGGTATAGAGTTGTTTTTTCTGTATCTCTGTTTGTTCTGAACTCTGCTTACAAACAAAACCAGAAGGTAAGAGATGAGAAAAGTTCTCGTTTCCTTTCCTGAAGTTCTGTATTTCTTCCTTTGCCACTAAAAGCCAAATAACTCAAAAAAATAAAAACTAAGGGAAAGAGTTCATTCTAATATTTCCTGGCAGATCACCCTCCCAACCTCTCAGTGCTTTGTCCTCCTGGATGACAGTGAGAGTGATCCCCCTTCCGCTTTGCCTCAGCCCTCCACTCATGGCCACCCACTGACTCCTGCTGCCACCTGGAATTCCTCCAGCTCTGAACATCAACTACGAAGCTCCCCATCCATGACTCACCCGCCGTCCTTCCAGCCTCTCTCGTAGCCGTCCCTCCTTCCCTGCTGATCAACATCAACAAGGCTCTTCTCCCGCGGGGCTGTGCATGGGAATCGCCAGGGAGCCTGAGGCCCAAGCTGCCCCTGTGACACCTGTCATCTGCTATCATCTGCTCTCATCTCCTGTCCTTGTGCACTGCACCGTGTTTGCCTCTCAGATTCCCTGAGTTTGGTATTTTTGATGTTTTTCAAACATCTTAGAGGGGTCTTGAATTCAAACGTCAAACCATGACAAGCTGAGTTAACATTTTGACTCCTATATCTTGGAATGGAGGGGGAATTCTGACTTCAGGAAATACTTGATTTCAGGACTCAAAGTATGAGTCACATTGTTGTCTTCACATTTATTTCTCTTGGTCTTACTTTGGGCTCTCTCCGCAGGTGACAGCCATGTGAATCATGGTCATCTCTCTGTGACCTTTGTAGCTGATCTCCTGGAAAAAATCCCTACTTCCTTCCCATTGTTCCAGCCAACGCCCAAGTCCCATGGCTGACTCTGAATCTGTCACTGAGAGCGGATGTTGGCACCACACCTGGGTGCCATACTGCCCCTGCTCCCCAAGGAAGAATTTAAACTAAGAACAGTTGACAGGGGATCGGTTGGTCACTAGAAAAAGTCGACAATCCCATTAACCCACCGTGATGGGCTCTGTGTCACACTTTGAAAATGAAGTGAGAAGATCCATCAATATTTTAGAGAAGAACTAAAGTTGACATGCAAAAAGTGCTCAAGTCCAACTTCTCTCCGTGACAAGGAAAACTTCTCTCCCTGTTCACCTGCTGCTTTGTAAAAAGCCACCACAAAATTTAGAGGATTGAAACAGCATGATCAGGTCCTCACTCACACATTTGCAAATGGGGCCTGGCTCCCTCCAGGGGCATCAGAGAAGAGGTTCTGCTGGGATCTGAAGACCTCAGGGCTGAGACACTCCTCCACAGGGGTAGGTGGTGCTGGCTTAACTGGGAGCTCCGGAAAGACTGAGGGAAGAGACTGTGTGACGTGCTGGAGTCGGATCATGCTGGCTCACGGGAGAGGATTTTTTGTGAAATAATTGTTAAATCATCCATAGCTGGGAGAATTTTAAGAACAGAAATTTAAAAACATTGCAAATCAGAGGGGTTTTTTTTCCCCCAGGAAGCAGGTTGTTTTGCATTCTCTGGCCAGTCCTTGTAGGTGGGCTCAGTTCCTCTCCCTGTGCAATGCTCAGGCTTCCTCCAAGCGCGATGCCTGGGCTCCAAAGTCACCAGCGCTCTTAGTGTGTCTGGGCTGCTAGCAAAATAATGCCATAAACCAAGCTGCTTATAAAAACAGAAATGTGTTTCTCACGGACTGATACGTCCAAATCAACGTGCCAGGAGATTTGGTGTCATGAGAACTGCCTTTCTGATTCATAGACGGCATCTTCTCACTGTATTCTCACCTAGTGAACCCTCTCACCAGAGAGGGAGCTCTCGGGGCATCTTCTGTAAGGGCGTTAGTGCTACTTATACAGCCTGTGCCCTCCTGACCTTCTTACCTCCCAAAAGCTCCTCCTCTTACACTATCAACTAATGATTTAAGATTTTAACGTATGATTTTCAGAAGGACAAAAACATTCAGGTTGTAGCACCATCCAATAGAGAGGAAGTGAAAGATACTAGTTCATCAGGCCCGATCCCAGAAAAAGAGCATGGCACTAAGTCAGGTGCATTCAGTTGGTCAAGATGTTACCCAGTCTTGATTGAACAGGAGACAAGTAAGCCTCCTTTTCTGTGTGAGGAGAGTCAATGATTTAGGGACACATTTTAAACAGCACAAGGGAGTTATTCCCTCACAGGTTTTTGGAAAATTGCTGCAGACACTAACGGCAAACACATAGAAAGCTTGTGAGAGGTGACTGGGAAAGGGGGACAAAGGGCAGGGACTCGGAGTTCCTGCCTATCCCAGCTGGATCTGCAGGCCTGGGAGTCGCTGTGTGGCACAGGCAGCACCAGGACCTTCCCTTCAGGATGGTGGACAAAGGGCTGAGGGGAGGGACAGAGCAGTGGTCTCTGAGAACCTGGGAGGGGGAGGGTCCTCAGAGCTCACCCCCATGCAGCCTCCGCCCTGCCAGATGATAACACACACGCTATGTTCCATGACTGCCCTTCCCTACCAGGTCAAAACCATGTTCCAGGGCCCTGCCCAAGGTCCACACACTCTATGTCTTCTGGGGCCACCAGATAGCCTCAGCTGTGTGCAAATATCCTTGCTGCTCCTAGAGGCCTCTCTCCTCTCACACCCACACCTACACCCCCACCCACAGCTTCCCCAAAATATTTACTCCAGCCTGATGGTGTCAAGGCTTATGGAGAGTCAGTTCCAACTTAGTGCAGGCTCACTTCAATATTCTCTGGAAATTCAAATGCATGTGTGTGAGAGAACAGTTTCCACCATGTGTACACTGGAAGTCTACACTTGTAGAAATTCCTAGAAAAATCTATTGGGTAGGAGTCACGGATGGTCACAACCTCAGACCACAGTGCCCCAACCCAAGGGGCTGTCAAGAAAAACCACAGCCTCACCAGAACCAGGGGACTCCAAGGAATCCCACCTTGATGGTGAGGTCACCACTAAACCAGCCTCTCCTTACTGCTACAGGGTAGGGACCTCACCACCCCCAGGACATGGTGCTGGCTTACATCCAGTACCTGAACCCCCGCTTTGCTGCTCTCTTAGCTCATGCCTTGTTGAGTACCCTGCAGGTGACTTCATAGAGTGGTATTTTGCTGGTAACACCATTTGTCTTCATGTGACCCCATTAGCTACACCCTCTAGTACAAGGAAACCATAGGGCCTAGGTCACACCATGAGGATGCCCTACAAGCTATGCAAAAACTGTGGACTTGGGAGACCTGTGTGTAACAACACCACATCCAAATCTAACCAGCTCTCCCCATGACAGCTCTCTCATGAGTTACTGAGGAAATGCCTATGGATTGGAGTGTGTTCTCTGTGCAGGAGGCTGGTCCAGGTTTCACTTCTGCAGGACACTGGACGTTTCCCAAAACCACCAGACCTTCCCCACGTGCACACACACCCCTCCTCATTTTGCCTCTACATCCACATCCACTGAGCCCTTCAGGCACCTACCGATGCCCTAGAACCTAAAACCATCATCTAGGGCCCAGTTCCCCAAATGGCCTGAATTTCTTCCTCTGCTGGGATGAGTCCAGAGCCCGCTTCCTCCAACGGTGGAATTGCTGGGCCTGCTACAGATCAGGAACTCACTGCTTCCTCAGAGGGGCGGCGACCCCACTGCTCTGGAACCGCGACCACCCCCAGCGAGGCTCCTCTCTGCCATTCCCCTCACCCTCCTCTCTGCCATTCTCCTGGTGGACCTCCAGGCCTGGACAGAGCCACTCCAGGCAAGAACTGATGAGATGCCAGCCCAGGAGCAGCCTCCAGCAAACGACCAAGATGTGGTCATTTACTTATCAGGAGATGACAGCTCCTCTCTTCAGGTTCCAGGTGAGAGACGCCAGCATGCAGAGCTACAGACTAGAGAGAAGGACGGGAGACAGGCTCTGGAATTGGGTCTCAGTGGCAGATGTCACTCAGGTGGCTTTACTTAACATCTCTGGTCCTGGATGTTCTCATATCTAAATGGGATAGAGATCCAAATAAATCTAGAGATTTTTGTTTCTCCAAAAACATGATTCCAAGATATGACTGTGAAATTCACTAGGTTTAAGATATAAGGAGATGCTACTTCATTCCTTCGGGATCCAGACAAATAAGCTTAAGTATAGAGAAAATATTTCACCCTGTCTATGTAGGATGTTTTAGACCCTGGAGAGGCGCTTAAGAGTGTGTTCAAGTGTGTGTGATGGGGCAGGAGGGCAAAAAAGTGAAGCCAAGGAGAATGAGTCTCAAGATGTATGTGACCAGCACTCCTCTGTGTATTTATTCCTATTGACTGAGATTGTTTCTGCTATCGGGTGCAATATAGCCAACATCACTCATCAGCCAACATGTGACTTCTCCAAGATTCCCTTTACCACCCACTGCTGACCCCATACTCAATTTCTGATGCTCTCTCTGGGTCCCCAGGCTCAACGAAGGGCTTGATCTGCCATTGCAGAGTACTCTACTGCCTTTTTGGAGAACATCTTGGTGGGACCTGCTTCATCCATGGTGAACGCTCCCCAATCTGCTGCTACTAAGCTTGCAGACTAGAGAAAAAGAGGTCGTAATAGGCTTTGAGCATTAAAAGGAATCTTTATTTCTATACCTGGTAGAAGGTATAGAATTTGCTGTCCTCAATTTTCTGTCCTCATCCCAAATAAATACTTGGTAACATGATTTTCGGATTTTTTGTTTTGTTTTGTTTTGTTTTTGAGGTGGAGTCCCACTCTGTCACCCAGGCTGGAGTGCAGTAGCGGGATCTCGGCTCACTGCAAACTCTGCCTCCCAGGTTCAAGGAATTCTCTTGCCTCAGCCTCTTGAGTAGCTGGAATTACAGGCGCCCGCCACCACGCCCAGCTAATATTTGTATTTTTAGTAGAGATGGTGTTTCTCCATGTTGGCCAGGATAGTCTTGATCTGCTGACCTCGTGACCCACCCACCTTGGCCTCACACAGTGCTGGGATTACAGGTGTGAGCCACCGTGCCCGGCCAATTAAATAAAATAAAGATCCAAATTCTAGGAACTTCAAGGAAGAATTTGGTTTCAGACACAGATGTATATGAAAGGTCAAATGATGCCCCGATCTCTCCTTCTGCTGCTCTGTCTTTTCACTCTGCCTCGTTTTCACTGGATCCACGCTCAAAGAACTCCGGTGTGCTGGGCAGACAATCAGTGCCAGCTTAAAGTTTATGCAGTCAACAAATCATTCTTCTAAGGAAAAACCATCATGCTGTTTCCAAAAGTGTAGGAGTTTTATTCAACCAACCTGGATCACACATCTGCCTTTTAAGTTTAGGGGTTATATCAATTCTATTGAAACAACTTTAATTAAGGTTGGAATGGGTTGCAAGAGTTTGAGACCAGACTGGGCAACATGGTGAAACCCCATCTATACAAAAACATACAAAAAATTAGCTGGGCATGGTGACACACACCCATGGTCCAAGCTATCAGGGAGGCTGAGGTGGGAGGATTGCTTGAGCCTGGAATGTTGAGGCTGCAGCAAGCTGAGATTGCACCACTGCAATCCAGCCTGGGCAACAGAGTGAGACACTCCAGCCTGGGCAACAGACTGAGACCCTGTCTCAAAAAAAAAACCAATTTGTTTTGAAGGTTGGAATGGGTTGTTAAGAAAGCTGTAATGAGTCAAACAAAGAGCCCAGGGGCACCACACTCTGATAGACTCATTATCAGGACCTTCCAGGAGGAACAGCAACAGCAACACCCTCTTAGGTCCTCAGAGTATGTGCTGGGATGGTCATGGCACCTCTGGCAGGCTGTCTCCAACTGTTGCTCATCTTAATATCTCACTCTTGGGTCCTGTGTCCTTTTGAGCTTGTCTTTTTCTTCCTTTCCAAGAAGACATGGTCGCTGCCTAAACCCGGTGTCTCTGTAGGCCCAGGCTGACATCTTGTTGAGGTGTAATGTGACTCTTCCTCCTGTCCCCCTCTGTTTCCTTCTCCAGATTCCAACTGGCCCTTGAACACTTATCCAATATGTCCTGCATATGGCCTATCAATCCCTGACCACAAGACCCTGGGGAGGCGTCCAGCGTGAGTGCCAGCTCCTTATTTTACTTGGAATATAGCAGTTTCAGTTTGTGATTCCACAACACATATTTGGAATAAGAATATGTCTGTTTGAGCCAAGGCTACTCTTACCAGGTGGGCTCTGGTAGAATGCCTTAAGAAGTTCTGGAGTGACAGAGAGACCACTGTTTGCAAAGAGACAGAATTTCAGGTGGGTTATTTACAATTCTTGACTAAAATAATTCAATGGGCCCAGATACTGCTGTGACCACCAACACCAACAACAAATGCCCAGACCCCAGGAGAAGGGAGCTGGTGTTCTCCACGCTCACCCCATGCAGATTCTAAGCAGGTCTCAGCCCCAGACCGAGGCTCTGCCTGTCTGAAGAGGTAGCTTCAGACAGGCAGAGGGTCCAGGCAACCCACTGAGACACTGCACGACTGGGGAACCCAATACAGATCCCAGGGAGGACAGAGTGGGTCTGTGTCAAACAAATAAATGGTTCCAGGTCCGGCGTGGTGGCTCATGCCTGTAATCCCAGCACACTGGGAGGCCGAGGTGGGTGGATCACCTGAGGTCAGGAGTTTGAGACCAGCCTGGCCAACATAGTGATACCCCATCTCTACTAAAAATAAAAAAATTAGCAAGCATGATGGTGTGTGCCTTTAATCCCAGCTACTCAACAACAACCACAACGAAAAAGAAAAAGAATTTGCTGGATATCTCTACTCAGCAGTGTACCTATGCACATCCCTCTGGGTAAGTTTATAAGGGGCAGGAGCGCTGCCTGCTGTCCTTAAGGTGCTACTGTAGCGCTGCCGGCCCATCTTTCTGTAAGGGCAGGTTCTCCTTGCCTGGGAATACAGTGAACATAAATGCTTTTGTTAAATCCCATTGCTGAGGTCTGTGCAGAGTGAAAGAATTCTGAAACTTTTCAGCCATTTCCAGAAATGTGCATTTTGTGTGTGTTTGCATTTGTTTTATATTTACTTGAAGTTGGCAATCATTTATCCAGTGTGAGGTGGCCTTTTAACCAAGAACCAGGTTTCCAATTAAACCTGCCTTCTTCACTCCATTTTTTTTTTGAGAAAGAGTCTTGCTCTGTCACCCAGGCTGGAGTGCAGTAGCACGACCTCAGCTCACTGCAACCTCTACCTGCTGGATTCAAGCGATTCTCCTACCTCAGCCTCCCAAGTAGCTGGGATTACAGGTGCACGCCAGCACTCTCGGCTAATTTTTGTATGTTTAATAGAGACAGGGCTTCACCGTGTTGGCCAGGCTGGTCTCAAATACCTGACCTCAACTGATCCACCCACCTTGGCCTCCAAAACTGCTGCGATTACAGGTATGAGCCACCGCGCCCAGCCCTTCACCCCAAATTGTGCTTGTTCGTTATGAATTAAAGCTGTTCACTCCACTTTCCCCACTTGTTCAAGGGGAAGACAACAATTCCCCTATCACCTGGCAATCCTACCCGGGAGCTATTACTCAGCTACCCTGATCTATCTAAGAGGACAAGATTCTTCTATGGATAAGTGGTCTTGATTTCCTGGTCTTGACTTAAAGGGGAATTCTGGAATTGTCTGATCTACCTTTGGGAAATAAGAAGTGGCCCCAGCTTACTCCAGAAGGAATAGGAGATATCACAGGTTAGATCACATGGTGGTTGGTAAACATACAGACAGACGGGAAGCAGGGAATCTTCTCATGATCCGTATCACAACTCATGAAGTCATCAGAGGCACCAAGCAAATAGATGGCAGACCTGGAACAAGGACATCAAAGGACTTTGGAGACAATAAGGGAACTTCAAATGGTTTGTTTTCCTCTCTCCCCTCTCCTCCCAGCCCCCATACTCACATACGTACAAACGACCAAGCCCTATTCGGCAAAGCCCGTTACTCTTGGGTCCAGCTTTCAGTGAACAAATGCAAACACAGGATGGGTATGATTCCCCCTCATTAGCCATCAGGATCCTGCAGCCTCGTGAGAAGTAACGACCGTCCCCTGTGATGATCGGTGGTCATGAGGACCTTATCTCTGCTCAGCGCCCTTCTCTCGTTCACCCCACCCCACATCGAAGCCAGAGCATTTTCACTGAAGTGCAATCTGTTTGTGCCAAGGGCTGTTTGTCCTTTTTCTCCTCAGTAGCTTCAGTATGTTTCCACCTTGAGATGTGCTCAGTCATCAGAGCACATCTCTCTCTCATCTTTTCCCCCTACTCTCTCATCTCCCTGGGCAAATGCCAAATACTAAGCCCACATAAATTTTATAGTGTTCTCCCCTTCACCTTGATGCCGAGAAAAAGTCCCAACCACGGAAATCCAATTAAAGCACAACTGAGTTCTCTGCCCTGCCTAGAAATCTTCTAAAAATCCTTACTTTTCCAATCTCAAAAGAGGACAAAATTATGTCACATCATCTATTCTAGAAAATCTCTTTTTAAGAAACCTCTTCACTCTTATGAAATGTGAAATGGGAGAGGCATTTTATAATTGATGATTATATTGAACTCCAACAACATACACGATAAAAATAAATGATAGGCCAGACCCAGTGGCTCACACTTGGAATCCCAGCACTTTGGGAGGCCGAGGAGGGTGGCAGATCACCTGAGGTTAGGAGTTCAAGACCAGCCTGGCCAATGTGGTGAAACCCTATCTCTACTAAAAATACAAAAAGTAGCAGGGCGTGGTGGTGCATGCTGGTAATCCCAGCTACTTGGGGAGGCTGAGGCAGGAGAATTGCTTGAAGCAGGGAGGTGGAGGTTGCAGTGAGCCGAGGTCGTGCCATGGCACTGCAGCCTGGCAGCAGTGCAAACTCTATCTCTCAATGAACAAACAAACAAAAATGATAATAGTATCATATAGCATAAAATATTTAACATTTTAGTTTTTCCAAAAGAGCTTTTTGAACAAACGATCTTAAAAAAAATTTGAGAGTGAAGAAAAGTTGTAATAATTGCTTCGACATTTGAGTAAACAAGGTTTGCTTGGAAAAACTTAAGGACCAATATCTCTCAGATTACACTAATCCAGGTCACATAATAAACCACACCTAATGTAGCAATATAACATAATTTCCATCATTTCACGCATATTTCAATTTATATTTGGCCCCAAAGCACTAGTGCACCATATACAGAAAAAGGAAATGCATTTGGTAACTTAAAAAAAATTGGTTATACCATTTTTTGTGTTATTTTGTTTTTTAAAGCTACTTTATTGAGATAAAATTCACATGACGTACAATTCACATATTTAAAGTGCAGAATTCAGTGGTGTTTAGTGTATTCACAGATATGTGCAGCAATAACCACAGTCAAATTAATGTTCATCACTTCATAAAAACCCAAGGGCTGTCCATTCCCCCCTTCCTCTATTCCCATCCCTCTATCTATGAGCAACCACTAAGCTGTTTTCTGTCCCCATAGATCTGCCTATTCTGGATATTTTGTATAAACAGAATCATGTAATTCATGGTCTTTTGTGTCTGGCTTCTTCCACTTCCCCATGAGCGTTTGTGTGGACATATGCTTTCATAGCTTTTGGGTACATACCTAGGAGCGGAATTCCTAGTTCACAGGGTAATTCTATGTTTAACTTTTTAAGGAATCCCTAAAACTGTTTCCCCCACAGACTGCCCCATTTTACACCCCCAACAGCAGTAAATTTCTCCACATCCTGGAGAGCTCTTGTCTATTATCTATGCCTTTTTGATTCTAGAAAACCCTGGTGGATAAGAAATGGTATTTCACTGTGCTTTTGATTTGAATTTCCCTAATCAATAATGATGTCAAGAGTTTTTTCATGTGCTTATTGACCATCTGCATATCTTCCCTAGAGAAATGTTTAAAGAGATCCTCTGCCCGCTTTTAAATTTGTTTATTTAGTTTTAAGTGTTTAGTCATAAGAGGTCTGAGTATATTCTGGATACATGTCTTCCACGAGATACGTGATTTGTATTTTCTCTCATTCTGTGAGTTGCCTTTTCACTTTCTTGATAGTGTCACTGGAAACACCAAAGATTTTAATTTTGATAATATCCAATTACCTGGTTTTCCTTTGGTTGCTCATGCTTTTGATATTCTATCTGAGAATCCATTGCCAAACAGAGGTGATGAAGGCTTGCGGCTACGTTGCCTTATAAAAGTTTTATGCTTTTAGATTTTACATTGTATTTCTAACCCATTTTGAATTAGTTTTTAAATGCAGTGTGAGGTAGGGTCCAATCATTCTGATGAATGTGGCCATCTAGTTTACCCACCATCTGTTGAAAAGAATTTTCTTTACTCCATTGAACGGCCTGGGCACCATTGCAGAAAATCAGTTAATAACCATAGACACATTTTTATTTCTGAACTCTCAATTCTATTCCACTGATCTACATCTATATTTACAGCAGGAACACCCCGTCATGATTACTGCTTCTTCGTAGGATGTTTTGAAAACAGGAAGCTTTTCTTCTTTATCAAGATGATTTAGCTATTCTGGGATCCTTGCTATGCAATACAAATTTTAGAATCACCTAGTCAGTTTCTAGATAGAAGTCATTAGGGATTCTGGAATAGACTGAGCTGAATATGCAGATCAGTTTGGGGAGCACTGATGTCTCACATTAAGCCTTACAATCCATGAGCACAAGATCTCTTTCCAGCTCACTGACATCTCACATTAAGCCTTAAACCCATGAGCATAAGATCTCTTTCCAGTTGTTGAGATATTCTTAAAAAGTTTCAACTTTTTGTGGTGTGGGGAGTATAAGTTTTGAACATTTTTGTTAATTCTACTACTAGCTTTTTTCCTTTTGATGCTATTTGTAAAAGGAGTTTTTAGCTTCATTTTTGAAAAGTTTATTATGAAAGAAAAAATACAATTGATTTTTGTGCACTGGTCTTCTATTTTTCAACCATGCTAAACTCCCTTATTACTTCTAATAGTTTTTTAATAAATTGTTTTAGATTTTCTACATATAAAAGATCATGTTTTTGCGAACAGAGATTATTTTACTTCTTTTCTAACCTGGATGTCATTTAATTTTTTCTTCTTGCCTGATTGCCCTAGAACCTCCAGCACAATGTTGAGTAGAAGTGGTGACTTCAGATATCCTTGGCTGGTTTCTGAGCTCTGTAGGACAGTATTTATTTATTTATTTATTTGTTTATTTATTTATTTATTTATTTTTTAACCATCAAGTATGATGTTAGTTGCGGGTTTGTCATAGATGTCCCTGGTGCCAAAAAAGTTGGGGACTGCTGCCTTAACAGATGGAAAGAGCTCCCGTGTAAACCCAGTGTGTGTTTTCAGGCCTAATAGTGTCTCATATTTCACTAAGTGTATTCTTATTTCTTCATCTTTTTTCTCCGTTCTCTGGACTGTGTAATCTTTTATCTATCAGTGTACACGTTTCCTAATTCTTGGTTCTGCCAGTTTAAGTATACTATTGAGCAGCCGTTAATAACATTTACATTTCAATTATTCTACTCCTCAATTCCAGAATTTCATGTGTTTCTCTGTAACTTCCCTTTATTATATTCTGTCTTTGAAAAGATACTGTCATCAGTTTCCTTTAATTATATAACAATGGTTTCTTTTAGTTGTTTAGTCACATTTTTCATTAATATTTTTTCCTATTAAGTTCTTTATATATTTAGATATTTACCTTTTTTACATGTATGGTTTACAAATATTTTCTCTCTCTTGCTAGGTTGTGTTTTTGCTCAGTTAATTGTTTCCTTTGCTATGCAGATGTTTTACAGTTAAATGAACTCCGACTTGTTTATTTTTGCTTTTGTTACCTCTGCCTTTAATGTAATATCCAAGAAATAATCTCCCAGTTCAATGTTAGGAAGCTTTATCCCTATGCTTTCTTCTAGTAAGTTTTATGATTTCAAGACTTATATTTAGGTCTTCAATTCATTCAGAGTTGATTTTTACATATGTGTGAGAGAAGGGTACAAATGTAGATAGACATCGAATTATCAGGTTGTGTACTTTCAACAGATATAATTTCTAATTGTCACTCCTCTCAATACAGTTGGGAATAAAAAAACTTTCTTAATCTTATTCAGACCAACTCTTTAGCTAGTATTCCACTGAGCTTATTTCCCTGATACCCTGATGACGACATTGTCCTCTCCACACTAGCAGCGGCAGGAGACTATGCCTTCCAGAACCTCAAAAACCTCCTTCACGAGGGTGGAGATGCCCCGGAATCCTGCAATAAATTACTCTCTACACCAGTGGAGTCCAGGTCTGGCCTCTGGGTCTAGACCACCAGAGAATAGCAGGGCTCATCTTCAAAAAATAAGGCAAGCAGATAGGAGACGGAGAGAGATAGGGGCCTTCGTGAACATGAGGACTTCTGGCTCCTCGTGGTGGACACCTACAGCCCAGTTTTGCACTATTGGATGAAACTTCCTCACTTGTTCAGAGGCTGCTGGACACCAATTGCAAGAGCACAGCTGTGGGGACATTCTATGTATCCACATGTATCCACAAAAGTAGTGCTTCTTTAAGAAAGGGCAATGAGCTCCCCATCCTCTTTAAGAAAGAGGCACTACTTTTGTGGATACATGTGGATACGTGTGGTTATTCCCTTATTTGTTCATTCCTGGAGAACCATGGAGATTAGTGCCTGTCAGGACTTAGTACACAGTTGTTGCATCTTGAAAATGGCTGGGAAAGAGCCTCGCCAGACCGGGGTATTGGCCAGCTCTCGAAAAGGGGTGCTCAGGGGCAGTGCTGATGAACGCTGTAAAGCAGAGCTGCCATCCTGCTCTGGCTGTGAGGAAAGTGGACATTCTTGGGGAAAATGCTCATACGGGAGGGTCTATCAATGCAGATGTGAAAATGAAAGCCGGCCTCTGACGTTTCAGGTAAAGACGCAGGAGAGGCGCACCACCTGGACCATGCATCAGCAGGCTACCCTCCCGCTCGGGAGGCAGGGGCCCTGGATGGGGTGGGGGAAAAGGTGGGTGCCCACTTTCTCAGAGAGGGTGTCAGGCTGAGGAAGCCAGAGGTTTTGCAGAAGAGAAATTTACCACTTTGGTAAACTTTCACTGCCCTCTGGGGTCCAGACACTGACACAATTTGGAAGAGTTTGTCTTGTGGCAACCATTGTACTTTGTGCACTAGCTCTGAGCTGTATCTGGAGGACAGACTTGAATGGTGTTCATCTCTCACTATTCACTCTTACTGTCTCATTTGAGACTTTGCAATCGCTGCCAAAGAATTTTCTATTGTCCAAGATTCTGCCAGTGCTCTGAGCTGATGAGCCATGGAAACCCTGTATGCTGGCCTCTGGATTAGTCAGCTCAGAATACCATAACAAATTTCCACAGACTGGGTGGCTAAAACAACAGGAATTTGTGTTCTCACAGTGCTGTAGACTGGAACTCTGAAGGTGTTAGCATGCTGGTGTTCTCTGCAACCTCTCTCCTTGGCTCATAGACAGCCGTCTTCTCCCTGCGTCCTCATGTGGTCTGTCCTCTGTGTGTGACTGTGTCTTAACCTCTTCTTACGAGAATTCTGGTTGTATTGGGTTTAATGCCCACTCTCATTACCTCATTTTAACTTAATTACTTCTCCAAAGACTCTCCAGATACAGTACTACATTCTGAGGTACTACGGGTTAAGTCTTCAACACATGAATTTTGGGGTAACACAATTCAGTCCCTAACAACCTTCTCTGAAAAAAGCCTAGTTGTTGGTGTGGACAGTGGGGGAAGTCGATGACAGAGGTGGTCAAGAGTCAGGACTCATCCCTGCAAACCATGATAAGACCTTGATATTTTCAGTGGAAAATAGACTACAGTGGACCAAAGTATCAGCAGGAGCCCCATTACAAGGGGACTGTGGAAGCCCAGGTGAGAAGCCAGTGTATATTGCACCAGGGTGCCAGCAGTGCAGGGGATAAGAAGTGGCCCCATTCAAAATTTTTGTTGAAGGTACAGCGGCAACAGCAGTTGCTGATGTAAGAATATGGAATATGAGGATATGTGAAGAATATTTTTATTTTTTGCCCTGAACAACTGCAGAGACACTAGTGCCATTTTCTGAAATGACAACACCTGTATGTGCACGTGGTACCTGCAAGCTGGGGAGATGTACAATGAAGAGTTTGGTTTTGGACACTAGGGATGAGATACCTGTGGGAGGTTCTAGTGGATATGTCAGGACACGGGTTCTGGAGTCTGGAGTTCAGCTGGGTGGTTGGAGCTGAAGATATAAATGCAGGAATCATTCCGAAATTGACAGCATTTAGCACTATAGATTTGGAAAAGATTACATGGAGACTGAGTATTCTAAGAGAAGATTAAAATTTCAATAATATTGGGTGATTGCCTGAGTGAATTACATGAAATTTGAATAATATTGGGTGATTGCTTGAATGAATTACATGGACTTTGGGGTTAAAAATTTGATATTCAAAGGCATTGTAGAGCCTGGAGAAATTTTGACAGACTGTTTCTGAAAGCAGCTTAGGCTAAGACAGCTTTAAGTAGTTGTTATTTGTTGTCTAATTGTCTGCTCGTGCCTGTGGGATGAACTGTATACATTAACTAATCTTTCAAGGCTTTCATCGCCGCACTACTCTGCACAGTCCCTAGCAAAGTCTCTCCTTGGGAAGCCAATGGCAGGACTCTAATTCCTAGAATCCTTTGCAAATTAACCCTTCCGGGTGAGGCTAAGTTAGATCCTGGAAATAGACCTACTGGAAGGCAGAGAAGAGGCTATTTTTCCGGTTTTTCCAGTCTGTCTCTTTGTGTAACAGCCTCCTTTTGTCTTTAAGCAAGGATACAGCAGGGAGGTAAGTGTCCTGTCCCTGAATGGATTAGAACACTGTTTTGCTGTTATGCAAACTGGGTGGAGGTGGTCAGGGAGGGACAGCTAAGCAGCCGGGAACTACTCCCTGGTGCCCCATGACTTCTTGCCAGCTCAAGCTCCACTCTGGATCTGAGCTCCTCCCTAGGCCTCTGAGGGAAGTTGCCAGAGCAACGTGTCAACCTACTCATGAAGAATTTAAAAGACCTCAGGGGTTAACTCATGCAAGCTTCCTGAGGCTCAGAGGCTCAGAAAAGTGGGCTGACCGGGCAGCACGCAGTTCCTAGGAAGTGCGTCCTTGCGAGGCATGTGGTAAAGAATTGTGATAGATCCCAGCTCTGCTGTGTGCTGACTCTGAGATACTGAGCAAGTGGCATAACTTCTCTGTGCCTCTGTTTCCACACTTTCTAAAGAGGGATAAGCATAACAGTAATTATATAACAATAGCACCTACCTCACAGGATTGTCTGAGGAATAGAAAGGGTAAGGGCGTTGAAGTTCTTAGCTCTGTTCTTGGCACACACGTGGCAGCCATGCAGTGTGTCATTTTAAATGGCCTCTGAGGTCTTTCTAGTTCGAGTCCAGTGTTTGTTTTTGAGATGGAGTCTCGCTCTGTCACCCAGGCTGGAGTGCAGTGGCACAATCTTGGCTAACTACAAGCTCCGCCTCCCGGGTTCATGCCATTCTTCTGCCTCAGCCTCCCCAGTAGCTGGGACTACAGGTGCCCACCACCACGCCCAGCTAATTTTTTTTTTTTTTTTTTTTTTTGTATTTTTAGTAGAGACGGGGTTTCACCCTGTTAACCAGGATGGTCTCGATCTCCTGACCTCGTGATCTGCCCATCTCGGCCTCCCAAAGTGCTGGGATTACAGGCGTGAACCATCGTGCCCAGCAAGTTATTTTTACATTTAAACTTTTGCTATTATTAGTGTCTTTTGGTGCAAGGAGTAAGTTAGGAATCAAGTTTTGTTTTTTTTCTGCCAAATGCTTGGTTTCCTTATCCTAGTAATTAAAATATCCAAAATTTCTTCATTGTTTAAAATGCTAAACTCTCACATACATAGTTATATTTCTTTTTGTCTCATTGTAACTAATATATCTATTTATTCTGCTTATTCCTCACTGTTTAACTTTTTACTATAGCTACCGTTTTAAAATACATTAAGGAAAACCTCACTACTCTTCTTTTAAATTATTTTCCTGGCCAGGATGTTAGATTGGTGTCCAACCCAACTTAAGGCAGATAATTCTACATTTTGAATAGTTTATTTCCTGTTATTAGCAAGAGGGATAAAAAAGAAAATTGCTTTGGGAAGTAGATAATTTGGCTTTTATTTAGTATTGAAGGCAGCTTTCTGCTGAGGACTTATTCATCAGTGCTTAGTGTCCCCAGGAGTAAGTACTGGGCTTAAATGCTTAGCATCTCAGAGTCAGAAGGATCTTAGAGATCATCTAATCCAGGCTTTTTATTTTCCAGATGAGGAAGTTAAGCTCCAGGAATACGAAGGAACTTGCTCAAAAATTCATAGTCAAGTAGTGTCACTAGAGCCACACTAAAAGAAAGCAACAATGTGAAAAAAGAAAATATTGTGGTTTTTTTTTAAATGAACATTTCAAAATAAGATTCACAATGATTTTTGTGGTTTCCAAACAAAAACTTTTTTAATTCGTCTATTCCAAATGTATTTTTATAAAGTACCCCCTAGGCACTCTCCTAAGTACTGAAGGAATCAAAACTCCTCCCCTCTTCTCAGAAGAATTAATTACATTGCTCTACAATGCTCTCTTATTCCACTGCTCATTCAGTGGTTAAAATCTGTGTCCAATTATGTTTAAACACTTTGTTTCAAGGTCTGTCTCCCCCAGAAGTACTTTAAGCAGGAGTTATTCCTTATTGTTAAAATTTTTTCTAGAACTTTATACTCTTTCCTTTTCACTTACTTCTCCACTCAGAGATCTTACATTCTCCATTTATTTACCATCTTAATCCTAATGAAGTTCCACAATTTCGTGGAAAGTTCCTTTCCCATTCTTGTCATCTTTTCCATGTCCTCTGGCTCTCATAGTCTCAGCCTTCCCACTTGCAGCGTGAAAAGCTGGCCCAGCCGTTGTGGAAGGTTTTGCACAGAGGTAGTGCTTTGGTTGTTTGACACCTTCCCATCGCTTGTGTAGTCTCTTGTCCAGAGACAGAGCTTTGGTTGTTTGACACCCTTCACATTGCTGGTACATCTGAGTGCCTGCTTAGCTCTTTGCGGTAAAGTAGCTTTCTCTTGACCTTCCTGAGAAGCGGTGACTATGCTAAGCACTCCAGCATGTTAGTAGGCTCCGTTTCCCAAAACGTTTACTTAGTAGCCAAGTCCACTGCAGGAAAAAAACACATTTACAAATGCTAATGGGGTACCTAATGCTTGTGCTTGGGCCACTGCCAGGCACATGAGACTAGCCTGGAGGTTGCTGACTCAATAGTGTTTCTGGTTCACTAGCACCAGTGTGGTCAGAACATGGTCAGGCTATTAGCGGCACATTCAGAAACAATCATTCAAGAATGAGGAAGAGGTTGAGCAAGCCCCCTTCCTGTCCACAGTTGGGAAAGGAGGTAACTGAGTGCTTGGCACTTTGCAGACTGGGGAGGATTTGGTGCTGGGCTGTACGTTCCAGACCAGCTATTTTTAATACTACATTCTTAGGCAGGAATGTAGTTGAAGCAAGTAGAACATTTCATTCTCATGCACATCTCACTTCCCTCTGCCCTGTGGCATGTGCACAACTCTTAGAAGCCTGTAGGTCCACAGGTTCCAGATCTGAGAAGTGACTTTGGGAGGTCATCTAACCCCATCACAGATGAGGTTATTTTGTCATTCACAGATGAGGGACCTGAGAAACAGAGAGGTGATACGACCTGTAAACCAGAAGCAGACTCAGAGCCAGGACCTAGGTACCCCCAATCTTCATGCGTTTTGTATATTTGCTGCATAATGTTCTCAAGTTCCCTGAAGCTTTTCCTATGGAAGTCTAGGCTACAGGAAGTGGTACTGTACGTTGGTTTTGAGCATAGGTGTAACATGAGCTTGAGTTGAATTTCTGTTTGACCTCATTAGAGACGAGGTCTTGTTTCTTCAACTCTAGAACAATCATTCTTAGGACATCTAAAGACTGTCTTGAGGATGAGCATGTGAAACACTTAGTACGATCCTTTGCACATCGTCAGGGCTCATAAGCACCAGGAGGCAAGCCCTGACGATGAGCAAAAAATCACACTCGTTTCCATGCTCACAGCTACATTACAGAAGACCAAAAGCCCCATATCTACATATGGAGGGTGAAATATTTCATTTTCATTGACTTACAATGACATAGACTTTCTTGTGTTCTCATTTCAAGGAGGACATTGGCAAATGGGAAATGACCCTGAAGTGAACAAAGAGGCTGGTGTGGGATTGAGCAAACATTGTCTGAGGAGCAGCTGTGAGTTCTGGGGCTCTTCAGAACAAAGAAGGGAATGTTCAGGAGAGCATGACTGGTGTCTTCAGAGACATAAAGGGTTAGCACCAAGAAGACAGATGAAACTGCATTTCTATGGTTTTGTAAATGGTGTTTCATACTTTTAGGTGACAGTTATTCTTTGTCTGGTTCGAACTGAGGAGCTCAATGCTGAGAACACAAAGAGTAAACAAACCCAGCCTGGGGTTAACAACTCATAGTCTGAACAAATAATAGGTTAACAAACATGGAGGATCCAACAGGCTCATGGTGACAAGGTGACAATGTTCTTTTTCTAGTGAGAGAAGGTTGATTCAGTAAGACCTGATGTGTCAAGGAGAGTGCTGATGAGCTCAGGCTTCTGTGGGCCTGAGAGTTGGGGGAAGGAGAGAACAGCTGGCATTTTGTTTTCTCACCAAAGAGAAGAGAATAGCAGTGCTCTAACCCAAGCTTGTCTGTGCAGTGACCTTCTTTTCTCGAGTGTACCCTGATGAGAAGCACTCAGGGACCTTGACTGCACCAAGGTGCAGAAGAATTTTGCAAGAGATTCACATAAAATATAACTCTCTGTTATCCTCTGTTCTCCTCCTCTTTCTCTTCTTTCTTCTCCTTCTTTTTCTCTCCCTTTCCCCCTACTTCTCTTCTATGTTTCTTTCCTTAAAATGTCAACCATCATTATGTTGAACTTAATTTTTCTCACTTTCCCCCAGTGATTTCCCTCAGGGTTTACAAAAAGTGGTGGCCCTAAATATTCCTAGATCCAAAGCAGATTTTCTCTGGCTCTAACTTGTTAAGTGGAAATCATGGTTTGAAGTAAATCACCCCAATTTTGACGCCTACATGGGGTAGGCTCAGTGCAAGGGCAACAGAAGCACTGTTTTTTCTTGTGTGTGGGCTGTCATTAAAATTCTCTCAATTCCTTCATCAGAGACAGATTTGTTTCTGATCCCCAAGGACATTTGGGCTTTAACTACAACTTGTGCTTAATGCATGAGTTGAAACTCTTAATCAAGTTCTGGAAGAAAAATCAAAGCCTTTTACAGAAGAAGTCACGTGTATTGAAAAACAACTGAAGCATCTGTTTGTTAAAAAAAACTAAATATCTTGTTTGGTTTTTGAACATTAAGGAAGTTGGTATTTGACATGAGAAGGGAAGAATTAGAGAGACAAGAAAGAAGAGGTGGAATAAATGGAAGAGAAGGAGGCAATTTTTGTACTGTGGTAACTGAGAGAGAATTCTGCAAATGTAAGGGACGTCTACCAGGTTTACTGGGTAATGCTATTTTGACATTTCTCATGTGCCCATGGTTTCTTCATTTGTAAAGTGAGTACTTTGTGTTAGATGATCCCTGAAGGCTTTAGTAATTGTTAATCAATGCACTTAGATGAGGAGTCAAAATGCTAATTACTTACAAATGTATGATTTTGTGACTGAAAAACTGTTGAGAAGTAACTACGAAAAAATCAAAACCAGTTAAGAGCTCAACTTGTGGGCTAGTAATACATTCAATATACAAAATCAATAGCTTTCTCTATGCAAACAGTATCCAATTATAAAATATAATGAAAGAAGAATGTGACTCAAATAAAAATAATGATTTAAATTAGTTATTTTTATAATTAAGTTACAAAATGTTTTAGATCTATGTGAAGAAACTTCTTGAAGAATACCAAAAAGATACATTAAAATGAGACAAAAATATTTGAAGTAAAATTCTGTTCTTAGGAAGGCTCAATAGTCCACATATCTTTTTTTTTTTCTTAAAACCTGTAGTTTCAATTTCATGTCAGTTAAAGAAGCAATGAAATTATTTTAACTTGATAAAGTAATTCAAAAGTTATTTTGTAAGAGTGAATCGTAGAGAGTAGCCATGAATTCTGACAAAGACTGGTAGGAACTACATTCATTAAAAGCACGTGGTACTGGCACAGGGAGAGACAGGATACAGAAAAGTAGAGGGAATGGAATCCATTGGATGAGCTAGGAATGCCTGGGCATTTGATACGTGGCAAGGCTGGCGTTTGCCCTGCAATGAGTGTGCAGAATGTGCTGTGTGTTCTCTGTAGGATGTTCAGCTGTCCTCCAGAATCAAGATGGGCCTAGCATTTTAAATTCCTTAGAATCCTGCATAATTTTGTTTCTTTACTGTACAGACTCAGATTTCTAAGAGAACGGTGACATGAACCCAGACATGTGCCTTTTGTGTGAGATAGCATATGGCGAGTGACGACATTTCTGCAGGCTCAGAAAATTTATACTTCTGGATGCAGTAAGAAACAGTTTCTACGTCATTGCTGGGAAGACAAGTCTGGCATGACTTTTCAGAACAGCCTTTATCCTAAGGCTGAAAAACTAACAGGAACAGAGAAATAATTAGGTAAACACACAAAACAAATGTCTTTTAGGGAAATCAAACATGAACTACATAAAAAGTGATCACTGTGCATATTTTGGCTGCTAGATGAGCAAACACAAAGTAAAAAGTAAGCCAGAAACAATTCTTGGCAATACCTACGATAAAGGACATTAAATATGCACAGAGTTTTAAAAATCAGTAAGTACAGATGAGTGACCCAGCAGAAAAATAGCTAACAAGATATAAAAAATAACCAATGAACATTCAAAAAAAGCTTATTGGCCGGGCGCGGTGGCTCAAGCCTGTGATCCCAGCACTTTGGGAGGCCGAGACGGGCGGATCACGAGGTCAGGAGATCGAGACCATCCTGGCTAACACGGTGAAACCCCGTCTCTACTAAAAAATACAAAAAACTAGCCGGGCGAGGTGGCGGGTGCCTGTAGTCCCAGCTACTCGGGAGGCTGAGGCAGGAGAATGGCGTAAACCCGGGAGGCGGAGCTTGCAGTGAGCTGAGATCCGGCCACTGCACTCCAGCCTGGACCACAAAGCGAGACTCCGTCTCAAAAAAAAAAAAAAAAAAAAAGCTTATTATCAGAAATAATTTTTACAAGGTATGGTGAGACAAGCGGGAATATTATATTCACTAATATGATTGACAAAGATTAAAACAATGAATAATAATTAGTATTGGTAAGAATATTGATAGTTAAAGATACTTCCATACATTTCAGGAAGAGGAAAAAAGTGGGTGAACAGTTTCTAAAGTGGGCAATTGGCCAGGTGAGGTGGCTCATGCCTTTAATCCCAGCATTTTGGGAGGCTGAGGTGGGTGGATCACGAGGTCAGGAGTTTGAGATAAGCCTGGTCAATATAGTGAAACTCCATTTCTACTAAAAATACAAAAAATAGCTGGATGTGGTGGCATGTGCCTGTAGTCCCAGCTTCTCGGGAGGCTGAGGCAGGAGAATCGCTTGAACCTGGGAGGCAGAGGTTGCAGTGAGCTGAGATCACACCACTGCACTCCAGCCTTGGGCAAAAGAGTGAGACTCCATCTCAAAAATAAATAAATGAATGAATAAAAGTAAAACTTGAAATATGCATAGCTTTTGACATTCCATTTCTAGGAATTTTTACAAAGTAGTAGGCATATACATTTTTAAAGACATATGTACAGTCATATAAATATATGAGGCAAATATAGATGAACAAATATTAAATAACCTTTGAGCTAATATTTAAATATGAAAAACATGCAATGGAGCTGGCTATGAAGGATGATCCTGTATTTGAAATTTAAGACAGAGATTTACACGATTTATTTGCAAAGGGAATGAATTAAAATGCTTTGAATGACAAATGGTGGTTATAGTTGAAGGGAGACGCTATGGGGATTTTCTACCTTCATTTTTTTTTTTTTTTTTTTTTTTTTACATTTCTCTATTATTTGGAATTTTGTAACATGTAAGTATTATTTTTTAAAATTGGAAGAATAATAGATTTAGGTGCAAGCAAATTACAACATTCAAATTCTAGGACTGACTTATTTTTCCACTAACTTTTAACCAACTCTTTCTTCCTTTAATGAAGATTCTCTAGAGACGTTGTAATGAACCAAGTGCCATATTGGATCATCCTTTTAAGAAGTTTGAAACATCTAGCCAACTTGCCTCAAAATCTTTTCCAATTACTTTCCTCACCTGTGAAGGACCCTCCTTATTCTATTGTTTTGACAGCTTGACTCTCAGCCCCACCACTTGCCTACAGGCCTCTACGTCACCTTGATGCCATTCTCCTACGACATGGTTAGAGGACAGTGTCATATCCACGTGTTGAGGAAAACCAGGGCAAGTGTCAGCTGGGAGTTAGGGAGCAGGAGAGGTGGATCCTGCTGTGATGGAGGAGCGGGATCTTGGAGTAGTGAGATGTTGATCTCTGTATAATCTTCACATCACTGCAAGTTCCTCTGACAGAGCCTTAGCTGTCTAACTTTGTCTTCTTGTTTCTTCCCATCAGGTCTTCAAGAACCTCCACTCTTTAACAATGAGACTCCATGTTTTCCTCACTGCTCTTTTTGCCATCTTCCAGGTACTACCCGGTAAATACCAACACCATGGCCCTTTCTTATTATCATTATTTAGTTTTTTCCTCTCCCTAAATCAACAGTTGGAAGGTTAAGGATTAGGGGGGCTACTCAGAGGTCATCACTATACCTCAAAATAACTTACTAAAAAGGTGAAAGAAATTCCTCTGTAACTGGCTGCTGTGTCTTCATGATGTCAAAAGTCCTGTTAGGTCACTATCTTCGACTCTTCCGCTTTCCCCCAATGAATTGGATGATGTGAGGACCAAATCTATTGACTCACATGATCAGTATAAACTGGGGTAGAGATAAAGATTCTTTTATTTGCCCTAACCAGAGACCTGGTGCCACTCATCACAGTGGTGGCTTGAGTTTGCCCAGACAGGGCTTCAATCTTAAGAGACTGTGAGAGTTGGACCAGGTCATGTGGGGTAGGGGAGCAGGGGTGCCTGGAGTGATGGACCAGGCAATAGGTATTGATCATGCTGCACCCCTGACACATGGACCAACACCTGTTTATTCCCGAGGGAGGAAAGATGATTTGGTCAGTAGTTACATCAACAACAATGGGATCTTATGGGAGATTGAGAGGGTGAAGGGAGGAGAGGCTGAGGGCTTGGAATCAAACCCACTTCATGTTGATGTTTAGCTGGGAAAGGTGGAGATTTCATCCACATGGTGAGCTCTCTTGCTTTCCTCCTCAGACTTTTGGCTTCATACAAACATCTTTCCATTTTTCAGGCATCACTAGGGCACTCCATTTTGAAAGACCCTGCTACCTTAGAGGTGGGATCTGTCTGAAGCGAGGAACACCGAATTGTGAGCCTTTCAGAGGACCCTGCAGAGCTTTCACCGTTTGCTGTAAAATAAGGAGAAGCTGATGGAGAAGCCTGGCAAGGAACATAGGCGCAGGATCTGAAGCGTGGCTCCTTTAGTCCAAATGAGAGCAAACATTACTCAAGTCCACATAACTGATTATTGTCATTAGGACTGATTAAAGAAAGAGATGTTTCCCATGAAGGGGTAAGCATTAGGTAGGAGAAAATTATAATTAAACTTGTATTATGTTTTAACGTTTGCAAAGCATTTTATTAACATAACATATTTAACCCTTAAACCCGTTTTGGTTTATGAACTCCGTTTTGCAGATGTAGAAACCAAAACTCAGCTAGGTTAAATAACTTGCCCAAGATCACACAGCCTAAGACTTTTCTTTTCAGTGGTTTGGCAACACTTTATCTGCATGGAAGGGAGAGTGGATATGAAAAAATTTACTACAGTTTGGGGAGGAGATGTGAGGACAGAGCTGGGCTTGGGACCCCCTGCAGTGGGTGTTGTGCTGAGTAGGAGGAACCTACTGAGGGTCCACAGTGCTGGGAACATTGCTGTGTTGGGATGTACAGGTGGAAGGCACACCTCTCCAGAGAGACCACTCAAAGTAGCCAGTCCCACATTCAGATGTAGGCAGAAGTCTGTTGAGAGGTAGGAATTCCAGTTGCAGGTCAGAGGCTTCTGTTGTGAGGCTGGAGTCCTGGGGTAGTTGTGATTATTGTGTGTCTTCCTTGGCTACTTTTCTTGTCCAGATCTTGGCATCAGCTGTGGTGTCCTGAGCAAGTCTTCCCTCAACTATGAGCATCTGTTTCCTGCTCTGGTGAGGGAGTTAGCTTAGAGATGACCATTGCTTTCTATAATTTACAATGCAAGTTTGGGGTGGGAGGATGGAGACAGAAACTACTGCAAGGTGCCTGGGAAGGTAGAGGACAAAAAGAAAGATGAGATACACTAACATGCAGCAAAAACCTAAACAATCATATGGAAAAGAAGAGTTTGACTGACATTGTGATGACTAACAAACAGAACCATTGGTCAGGTCTCAATCAATGAGCAACTACAGAAAGTTCAGCACAGGTTTGCAAATGAACAATGAGTAAGGGTATCCAAGTAAAGATACAAACATTAACTTCTCCAATTGTTTTTTCATTGGCACTGGCTTCCTATACAGTGTCTACAGGGATTATTACAGGATTTTGAATATTTTTGGTGCCTATGAACTTGGTTCACAGTGTGCTGTCAGAACGGTTTATCCGTCCATCAGGAAAATGGTCGACTATTACCACAAGAGTTTAGAATCAGTTAGTAATTTAGAAATCACTCAGTCTCTTACTTATATTTCTTTACTATGAAATGAAAACCTTTTTTGTTCTTCCATATATTTTTCTCAGTATTCACAGATTCACCATCATCTCTCTCCAAATTTTTTTAAAAATCCCAGCTCTAGCCCTCTGTTTCTATTTCCTTTTCTTGCTTCCTTTTTCTTCTTGATTCAAGCACATAGGATTGGTCCAGTGGTAGTAGAACAAACCTCAGGGAGGAGAGGAGGGAAAGGAAACAACCCTAGTGGGAAAAAACCTAGTGGTAACACTGGGTTGTGGATGAAGAAAGAGGAGAGCCTGGGAACACCAAATATAAATGTTATATATGCGTATTGTCAAATTTGTAATAATGTTCATGGTCAATCAGTAGAGTGAGGTAGATTCTGATTTGCCTCCCCATATTGCCTGACTACTCAGAGAAAATTGATGATTATGTTAACTTTCATTCATTGATTTTTGTCCACAAACATTTACCTAGCAGTGAACAAAGCAATAAAAAATTCCTACCTTCATGGTATTTATATTATAATACAGAGATAGAAAATAAACACTAGAAACAAGTGATATATTTAATACATTATGTGTAAAATTTGAGAAAAACATTTCAAAGAAAAAGGATGTAAAGTATGGAGGAGTATATGACAAGATGTCCAGGTAGGACCTCATAGAGCAACACATGAGTGATAAAGATGAGTTTTCAATACTCAACTCTGTTTTGTGTGGGTTTTACTTAGGTGGTTGTTCTGAATCTGAGGCTATGTTCATTCTTGGGCATCCCCAGGGATTATTGGGTCTCCTAAAATATATAGCCAGATTTTGGAACATATTGATCTGAGGTTCTGCCCCATGCCTGTTGGCCCTATTGGCTTTCATTAGGTAACCCTGTTTTTCCTATCTTTTTATTTATGTATTTCACAGTATTTGTTAATTGACAAGTGAAAAATTGTTTGTATTTATGGTGTACAAGATAGTACTCTCTAAATGGAATAGTCAGTCAATCTCAGGGACCACCTTTCAGGAAAACCAGTGGCTCGCATATATAACCTCAGCACTTTCGGAGGCCAAGACAGGTGAATTGCTTGAACCAAGGGTTTGAGCCCAGCCTGGGCAATATAGCAAGTATCTATCTCCACAAAAACTTTTAAAAATTTAAAAATTAGCCGGGCCTTGTGGAATGCACCTGTCATCCCAGCTATTCGAGAGTGTGAGGTGGGAGACCTACTGGACTGCATTCCCAGGAGGTTAAGGCATTCTTAGTCACAGGATGAAGTAGGATAATGGCACAAGGTAAGGTCATAAAGAACTTGCTGATAAAACAGGTTGCAGTAAAGAAGCCGGCTAAAACCCACCAAAACCAAGATGGCCATGAGAGTGACCTCTGGTGGTCCTCACTGCTACACTCCCACCAGCACCATGACAGTTTACAAATGCCATGGCAACCTCAGGAAGTTACCCTATTTGGCCTACAAAGGGGCAGCGTAAATAAACTACCTCTTGTTTAGCATATAATCAAGAAATAACCATAACAACTAGCCCTGAGGGCTGCTCTGTCTATGGAGTAGCCATTCCTTTATTTCTTTATTTTCCTAATAAACTTGCTTTCACTTTACTCTGGGGACTCACCCTGAATTCTTTCTTGCGCGAAATCCAAGAATCCTCTCTTGAGGTTTGGATCCAGACCCCTTTCCGGTGACATATGAATTCAGAAGTAATTAGGCTTCCCTATTATTTCAAGCTGGCTTCTTTCCCAAAACTTTGTAAGTAACTAGCATTCCCATACATTTCTGGAACGCATGCATGAAGTCATTGTGCAACCCTTGCTGACATCAGGGCACCAAAATGTCTACAAATATATTTATCATGACCTACGTGGCTAATATGGTCCAAATTACCCTTAAGCTTCTACCTTAAGTTCCATAAATACCCCTAAGGAGAATCCACTGCAGTACGCTCAGTCCTTTCTCGCTGAAGCGCCCTGCTGCACTCGGCTGCAGCGTTCTTTCTATCTAATACAACTTTCATTTTCAAACCTAGTCTGATGATGTCAACCTTGATCCTCTGGCTAAGGTAGTGTTTCTCCTCCAGGGAAGTTCCTTGCTCCACGCTGTACTCTTTGGAAGCAAGTCCCTAAGCTCAGGCCATGCTTAAGGTGTGGGGAATTAGACTCCACTTCCTCGAAGTGGTGTATCTACCTAAGTTACTTGCAATGTTTCTGTATGGGAAATTTGTCTCTTCTCCTCATTTATTTATTGAATAACTTATTTATATCGATATAAACATGGATATTATTTTATACTTCAGGTAATAATCCAAGACTATGACACTTTTTTTCCTGTTGCTCAAATATTCCAGCTTTGGCCATCAGGAGCTCTTTCTGTTGACCTTTGTGTGACTTTGACCTACTACCCCCAACATTTTGTTTTTAAGCACTTTGCTAGTTTTTGGAATCCCAGAAAAATGCTTTCACAAAATGGCTAATCTCTTGGTTAATGTGGTGTGTGCTAGGATTTTTCTTTACATAGCTATTGTTTCTCTTGGAACGTACTAAATAACTTGGGGGAGATACTTTGCAATTATGCAAATATCTGATTTCTGCTTAAATTTTCACTCTTTAATGATGGATCTTGCCTGTAGTAATTATTAGTGTGGTCTTTTACTGTTAATTTTCTATTTCCTCATCACCCCTTCCTTTATTAACCGTTCATTAATGAAGAGTTGTCCCTTATTGATTTGGTTATTTGTTCATCTCAAATATGACTCATGGGTATTTATTTTATACTTTGGGTTATAATTCCAAACTGTATTTTTTGATTAGGTTGGTTCAAGTTTGACCATTGGGAGCTCTTACAGGTTTCTTTTGCCTTTACACACTCTTTTTTTTTTTTTTTTTTTTGAGCATTGCCTTACTTTCTGACACTACAAGATGTTCCAGGTTTATCTTATATTTTCTCTGCCCCCGTACTGGAATGAGTTGGTTCTTTAAGGATTCTGGGTCCGTTTACTGAAACATAGTACTTAGAAATCAAGACCTGAGCACCAGGTATACTCATTGCTACTGAGGTGTCACTGTTTCTTGTTTTCTTAAGAGGTTAGAATTAGGAAACATACATGTGAATATTAATTTATCTACTCACATGCATGTGTGTGTGTGTGTATATATATATATATATCTGTGTATACATTTAAAAAAATTCCTTGCTCCACATTAATATCTTCAACTGCAACCCAAAATCACAGTATTAGTTCTGCCTTTCCCATTTCCTTATTTATAACCCTTTTTCTCCAATAGTGAGAAACCTGCCTGTTATTATTTATTATATATTTTCTTAGTTGCTTAACATTAGGATACACATTGTTTTAAAATTGGTAACACAACTGCTGTGAGAAACAAATCTAACAATTGGAATGCAGTGCAGATTAAAGACAATATAAGGCCTTTTCATCTTTGTAGTACTCAATCAAAACAGTCTTTCAAAGTTACTTAAGTCAATTCCTTTCTTCTTCTTCCAGTTTAGTGTGTATATTAGTCTGTTTTCACACTCAGGTATGAAGAAATACCTAAGACTGGGTGATTTATAAAGGAAAGAGGTTTAATTGACTCATGGTTCCGTGTGGCTGGGAAGGCCTCAGGAAACTTACAATCATGGCAGAAGGCAAAGGGGAAGCTGGCACCTTCTTCACAAGGTGTCAGGAAGGAGAAGTGCCAAGGGAGGAAGAGCCCCTTATAAAACCATCAGCTTTTGTGACAATTCACTCATTATCATGAGAACAGCATGGGGGAAACTACTCCCGTGATTCTATTACATCCACATATTTGGGTACATCGGGATTATGGGAATTATAATTCAAGGTGAGATTTGGGTGGGGACACAAAGCCTAACCATATCAGTGTGGTCATATGATTAATTTTTTTAAATACGGTTATATTTGTTTGTCACAATCTGCTTTCCATTTTTCTTCCCATTAGGTTACTTTATATATAGTAAAATTCAAAGTTTGTGGTGTTAAGTTCTGAGGGATTTGCATATGCAGAGCTCTGTGTTCATTGCCACACTTCTGTATGGAACGTTGCTTTCACTTCCAGTTTCTCTGTATTGGTCTGTTTTCACACTGTTGATACAGACATACCCAAGACTGGGCAATTTCAAAAGAGACATTTGTTGGATTTACAGTTCCATGTGGCTGGAGAGGCCTCACAATCATGGCAGAAGGTGAAAGGCATGTCTTACATGGTAGCAGACAAGAGAAGAGAGCTTGTGTAGGGAAACTCCCCTTTTTAAAGCCATCAGATCTCATGAAACTTATTCACTATCAGGAGAACAGCACAAGAAAGACCTGCCCCATGATTCAATTACCTCCCACTGGGTCCCTCCCACAACACATGGGAATTCAAGATGATATTTGGGTGGGGACACAGCCAAACCATATCACCCTTTATAGACAAACCCTTCCTATGACACTGAAACCACGACAGCCACTGATCTGGTTTCAGAGCCTACAGTTTTGAATTTAGCATCATAGAAATAGGGTCATGCAATCTGTAGCCTTTATGTCTGGCTTCCTTAATTCAGCAACAGGCCTTTAACATTCATCCATGTTATTTTATGCATAAATGATTTATTATTTTTTGTTGCTGCATAGTCTTTCATTACAGGATGTACTAAAGTCAATTCACTAGTCAAGAGACAGCTGTGTCGCTTACAATTTGAGGCAATTATTGATAGAACTGCTATAAACATTTGCATACATGTTTTCAGTTTGAACATACATTTTCATTCCTCTATGATAAATACCCTTGTGAGGGATTGTTGAGTCATTAGGTAAGTGTATATTTTACTTTACAAGGAACTGCCAAACTGTCTTCCAGAGTAGCCATACTATTTTGCATTCCCATCAGTGGTGATTGAGAGCTCAGTTTGGTACAATAAAGGAAGCTGCTAAGAGAAAAGATTATTAAGAAATTGCTTTTGGACTGTTTCAAACTGGGAGAAATTAAGTTACTGCTGAATGTTGGACTTTCCAGTCTAATCAGCAGTCTTCCGCTGTAAAATTTGATCTTATCTATGCTGAAAACAATTCCTTGGGTTCTAAGAAAATGGTCCTAAAGAAATCTTGATATTTGGAAAGGTGCCTTTGGACAGAAGAAAATAATCACTGCCTCTCTAAATCTTGATCCTCTGTAAATCAATGAGTTGATTTCAGTAATGTCTGAGTTCTGATTCTATGTGTTAATGCCTAAGTGCCAAGTTAAATATTTCTGTAGAAGGCCAACTTATTTTCCTAACTGTTTAATAATCAACCTGGATCCATCACTTGATGCCCAAGAGTCGTTAAGGGTCAAGGATACAGCAAGTGAGAACAACATCTCTGTGAGAGCTGAGTGTGGTAGCTCACTCTGGTAATCCCAGCACTTTGGATGGGAGAAGCCCTTGAAGTCAGTCTGGCAACACAGCGAGATCCTGTCTCTACAAAGAAATTTTTATTAGCCAGGCATGGTGGCGCATGACTGTTGCCCCAGCTCCTAGGGAGGTTGAGGTGGGAGAATCGCTTGAGCCCAGTAGTTTGAGGTTGCAATGAGCCATGATTGTGCCACTGCACTCCAGCCCGGGAGACAAAGTGAGACCCTGTCTTCAAAATGAAAACAAAAATAAAACCTCTGTGACTTTTTAACTTATAGCCAACACACACACACACACACACACACACACACACACACACACACACCCTTCATCCAAAATTCCATAGATTCACAGACATATGAACAGCGTACAGGTGTGTTAGAGAATACCCATGTCAGTGGTTAGAGGGAAAGAAACTGAAATCTGGGAAAAGAAAGGTCTTATCCAAAATCAATCAGGGAGTTAGTGGTGTGACCAAATCCAGATTTTACATTATCCTGCCTCTGGTTCAATGGCCTAAAAGTTAAGCTTGTTATCAGAAAGAGGGTCCACATGGGTGGTGATGCCTTTATTAAGCAGAAGTCAGGGGCTGTGGTTCTCTTGGGCTACCCTGAGGCCCCTCCAGCTGTTGCAGCTACAACCTACAGCAGTGTTTGTACCGGCTTTTGCACTGTGCAGGCAGGATAGAGCAACCGTGGGTTTTTTGGTGCCTGCAGACACCACCCATGTGTTCACATTCATGGAATCTATCCTTTCTCTCATATCCTATAAGGGAAGAAGGGGAAAGAAACAAAAAAGTGAAATTATGTTTTAAAAACGTTACTAGAATTCATCTTGTTTAGCACATGATAGTCCACAGGGCAAAACTGACTCTGCTTCTGTTGGTATGACGTGTGAACTTAGGACAGTTTTTAGATCTCTAAATTATTTTTAAAAATTCAAAACCAAATTTTTGGTGATACATAAAAATTATATGAAACTCAAATTTCAGTGTCCATAAGTAAAGTTCTAGGTGACGACAGCCATGCTCACTTATTTACACATTATCTATGGCTGCTTTCACTGTATACAGGCAGAGATGAGTTGTTATGACAGAGATCACATGGTCCATAAAGCCCAAAGAATTCATTACCTAGTCCTTTACAGGAAAAGCTCACTAACTGCTATAGTAGTCTCTTCTGACTGTGCCACAAGGCTAGAAATATAAAATTCACTTCGCTCCACATGCTCTCCATAAAAGCTTTCTAAAGTGCCTGCCTTCTTCTTGACATGGCAAAACTTTACAAGTATTGAGTGCAAATTAGTCAATAAGTATTTAATGAAGAGATAACTAGATTGATGTCCTGAGTATTCTGATTCCTGAATGCGGTGCCTTCCATATTCTGTGAAGTGTGAGTTCTTTCATAGTTTGTGATCCTTTCAATGCCAAAACCAAGACATGGAGTAGGCACCTGCCTTCCTGTGCTCAGTGAGCTAGGTTGGAAAGAGAATGACATAACATCCAGGAGGTTGAGCTTAGTCCTACAGAGAGCAGGTCTAGAGAGCCAGAGAGAGAATGACCAACAACCACAAGAAAACAGTGAGTATGAAGTGTTTCCGTTAGAGTTTACGTCTCTTAAAGGCATGGCATTGTGATGGAAAGCATACTCAACTAGGATTAGGAATCTTGGTTTCTAATTCCTGATCCATCCACCACAACTATAGTTATTGGCAGCCAGGTTTTGCTATGTGAGTCACAGACGCTCCTAATCTCTCATAAGAAGAGAAGGATACATGTATAGATACAGGTATATATTCATATCTGAATCTACATCCATATCTATAGCTATGTATCTGTCTATCATCTATGTAATCTATCCTTTATCATCTATATTCTATTAACCATCTGTCTGTCTATCTATCTATCTATCTATCTATCTATCTATCTATCTAATTATCTATCTATGTCATCTATCATCAATCATCTATCTATCACAATCAGGCTGTTAGGCTATTTCCCAAATAGATCTGGCTATTTTCCTGACACAATGTAGGATTGCCTCCCTACCTTTGAGACTTACTTGGGTAACAAATTTTGAGCAGAAGTGATGTGTCCTTTCAGGGCTGAAGCCCTTACCTGCAAGTGTAAGAACCTCAGAGCTCTTTCCTTTACAGTGGCCAACAGTAGTCAAGGTGGTGGCTGCTCCACCAGGGGGAGCTGAGCAACTACAGTGAGCAGTGCAGCCCTGTGGCCATGATGCATTTGTACCAGAAGTGGGAATTAAATCTTTGCTCTTTTAGGAAACCAAGATTTGAACGTTGTTTTCACCACATCGTTACCTGGCCCATGCTAACATATGCAGAAGATTGCCAGGAAAATGTGAGACCTCTAGTTAAATTCGAATATCAGATAAACAATGAATAATCTTGTAGTATAAGCTTGTCCCAAGTGTTGCATGGGACATACCCATATTTAAAACTGTTCGTTTTTGTATATAATTTAATAAGTAAATCTATTTTCAGGTACTGTTGAGTATTTGGTAAGAGGGTAATCTTGGGAATCAAACCAACTTAAGCTTGAATCTAGGCTTCACCATATACAATCCTTGTGACTTTGGACAAAGGATGCCATTTTTTTAGACTCATAAGACAGGGCTAAAAAATACCTGCCCCAGAAATATTGTTAAGAGGAGTACGTGGAGATAATATGTGAAAACACAACACATCTTTGCTGTGATGTCTGGTAAAGAGAAAGTGGTCAGCATTATTTGTTGTTAGTATTAGTGTTGTTGTTGTCATTGTTTTGATTCACATGGAAATGGTTTGTAAGCTGTGATGCCTACTATTAATGTTATCTATCACAATTGTTAGTTAAGTCTGGTATCTATTGCAACAACTAGATTAAGGTAATCTTGGGAAAAAATTTTAAATTTCTTAAGCTTCTCTCTCCTGATTTGTAAAATGAAATTTGTTGTACATGCTGTGCTTTTTCTCAGCTATGCGGCTGTTCAGTTACTCCATATTCAGTGCATCGTTGGCTGATGAATTAATTTGGCCCATGTCAGCTCCAAGGCATCCACCTTATCATCCTCCAGGTGGACTCATAGCTTACCTGAGGCTGTTTGTATTAGACATCCAAGAAGGAGAAACAGAAGGAACAGCAGTCTCATGATGGGAAATGAGTGGTCACGATTATACGATGATCTCACAGCCCGAAGGTAGCTCTTTCTCCAGTGTACATTAATTGACGAGGACAAGTGATCTGGGAATGAGTTTGAATTCAGTTGGGAAACTAACACAGGAATAGAAAACCAAATATTGCATGTTCTCACTTATAAATGAGAGCTAAGCATTGAGCAGACATGGACAAATATGGGAATTATAGACACTGTGAACTACTAGAGGGTGGAAGGAGGAGTTGGGTTAAAAAATTACCTCTCTGGTATTATGTTCACTACCAGGGTAATGAGATCCATACTCCAAAGCACAGCATAATGCAATATTGCCATGTAACAAATCTGTGCATGTACCTACTGTACCTAAAACAAATTGAAATTTTAAAAAATGAACATACAGCAAATAAATGGGCCTTTTTTGAAATATTTTTGGGTAACTAATACTTAAATCCAAGAAGCAGCATTTTATTGCACTTTTGTTTCATTTTAGCCAATTTCTGCATGTGGGTGGCTAAGCACACCACAAGGGCGTGATGCAAAAATGACAAAAGAGATATGCTGAGCTACCTGCAAATGCCTTTCAGAAATAACATAAAGCATCCCTTAGTGGTGAATCCACTTAAAGTAACTGAATCCACTTAAAGTAAATCACTGCAAAATTTAAAAAGAAGAAGAAGAAGAAGAAGAAAAAGAAGAAGAAGAAGAAGAAGAAGAAGAAGAACAACAACAACAACAACAACAACAACAACAACAACAACAGTTCAACCAGAGAGAAAAAGCTTGCATTCCTGATTCAAATGTTCAAATTATGCATGGGTGTAACCTTAGAATGTTCCATCTATGAACTCGTGATTACAGATCCAAGTCTCCTCCTGTTCAAATAGAAGGGCTTCCGAGTAATTTTGCATTTTCTGGTGGATTTTCATTTCTGCTTATGGTTCTGAGGTTTGGTGCCTTTTTTCCCTCAGAATAAATTATTATACAATAGTGATTTTGAGGATTCATCCATTTATTCATCTATCCTCATTCTTTTCATATCCCTGCATCTGCCAGCTTTCCCTTTGGAAATACAAAGAAAACCACCCTTTAAAAAAATTGTGTTTTTTCCATTCTATAAAAGAGTTTATTTTTAATGCCAGACCATGTAAGGGCAGCTATTTTAAAATAGCATTTCGATTAAAATTGAATTTTGAGTTAATGCACGATTACTTTCTGTCAACTGGCTGTTTCCACACATCTATGGATTAAATAAACTAATATTTAATACCATTGGCATTACATTATTTCAAGATCTGAAAGTGCTTCATGAATCATTAAGGAGAGGTTAAATTCTTCTTTACAAATTTCAATAGCTTTTGGGGTACAGGAAGTTTTTTGTTACATGGATGGGATTATATAGTGGTGAATTCTGATATTTTAGTACACCGGTCACCTGAGTAGAGTACATTTTACCTAATGTGTAGTTTTGTATCCCTAGCCCTGCCTACCATCTGAGTCTCTAAAATCTATCATATCACTCTGCATGCCTTTTTGTATTCATAGCTTAGCTCCCACTTATAAATGAGAACATATGGTTTTTTGGAAAACCACCCATTTTAGAAGCTAAAAAAGAAGAAGAAATTCTGTAAATGGAAATTACCTTTTTTCCTTTGTCGAGTTCAATGTTTGATTTTTTTTGTTTTGTTACCCAGTTAAAAGAGATAATTCTAGGCAGACTCTGACCATGTCAAAGTCTTGCATAGATTACAACTAGGTGACCCATTAGCGGCCAAAGGATTTCTTAATCCATGTAGTACAATGCATTCTTATGGTAAAGGAATTAAACAGCAGAAAGTATACAAGGTAAAGCACTGAAATTCTTCCTTGTCTCTTTCCCCTCCACATCTGTGTTGCTTTATATTATTTCTACATCTCTCTCCTTCTCCACACTGTGAGCTTCTAAAGTAACAGGCACTGTCTGATTACCTTCCTTCCTCAGCCCCTGAGCAGTACCTAGCAGAGAGAAGGTTCTCACGTATTTGTTTAAACAAATGAGACTTGAGTGAAAGAATCAATACATAGATGAATACATTGATAGAGGGAGGAAGGAGGTAAGGAAATGCTGTGGCCTAAATGTTTGAATGCTTGTGTCTCCCCATTCATCTGTTGAAAGGCCAACCCCCAAGGTGGCGATGATATTAGGAGGTACGGGCTTTGGGGAGGTGATTAAGTCATGAAGCCAAAGCCCTTCTGATGGAATTGCTGCCCTTATAAAAAGAGGCCTGAAGGAGCTCGTTTGTACTTTTCACCGTGTGACAACACAGAGAAGGAAGCGGGCTCTCTCCAGACACCAGTGATGGTGTTCAATCTTGGACTTCCAGCCTCCAGAACTGTGAGAAGTAAACTTCTGTTCTTTGTAAGCCACCCTGTTTATATTACTTTTCAATAGCATCCCAAATGGACTAAGGCAGAAAGGAAGGAAGAAAACAAGAAAGGAAAGCAGGGAGGAAACTCAGGGATGCATACCTTTTGACCTCCCTAACAGTGGTTACCCTTCATTAATAATCAGTATGTGTTGAGAAGCCAAAAGACAGATTGTTGCTGAGACATAGACATCAGAGAAATCAGCCAAGCTATGATGTAAGCTGTGGTCTTTGTGGAAATAACGATATATATTTTTTGTACCTAAGAGCAAAAGAGCTCTAAAATCAGATAACCCTTGTTTCAAAGTTTTGCTCTGTCATTCATTAACTGAGTGATCTTGTGCAAATAACTCAACCTTTCAAAGCTCCAGTGTCTCCTGTTTATTTGGTGATGGCTATAGTGCCAACCTCCTAGTCTTTATCTCAGAAAAAAAAAAAAAAAATCTTAGGGGGAGTCAATTGCTACCAAATACCTGTCCACACAGAAAGTTGTGTTTTATCTAGGGTCACCACAACAATTTCAACCCCATCAAAAAGTGGGTGAAGGATATGAACAGACATTTCTCAAAAGAAGGCATTTATGCAGCCAAAAAACATATGAAAAAAGCTCACTATCACTTGTCATTAGAGAAATGTAAATCAAACTAAACTGTAAGAAGAACTTTTAAGTCAACTTCTGGATACCTGAAATCATACAAGATACTACTTTCCTCCATAAGGCCTGGAATGTCTCCAAAAAAATCCCTAAAATTTAAAACTTAATAAGGACAACTTTGCCTTTTAGGGTCCATAGAATTAGAGGCTGGTAGGGAAACTTTGGCCGTTTAGGGTGTGGGAGAAAGATGGTCTTAGATAAGACCTAAAATTGTAGGAACATACTGAATTTCACTTATTAAATGTTAGCATAACTTAAGTTTACAGAATTTAATAAAATAATGCTGAAACTCCTCTGTTACTCCAGTAAGAATGAACATTCTTGAACACCTATCACGTACCATGAATCTTGAAAGTGGTATCTTAGTTGACGTAACTTTTATAAGGGATAGGCATTTTCTCTGAGCAAGTCAGTGTAGGTTATACAAATAGTGATTGAGGTGGGATTTGAACTCTATCCACAATCAAAACTTTTGCTTAATTTACAGTCTTTCTTGCTAAGAAAGAAAGATAATGTTTTTTGAATAAAGGAACACATCTCTGGTGAGATAAACCAGCTCTGTGTGTTTGACAGCAAAAGAGCTACAGGTTTAGAGAATGAACAGGGTCGTGCATAAAAGGTTGTCTGACTTGCACTTTCCTAACAAAGGGGAAACTCTGCATCAGGTGGAGCATGGTGGGTCAAGTGGGTAAAGGCTAGCGCTCCCTAAGCAAGCTCACCAAATAATTTATAACCCAAACAGAAATACTTTTTAGGGGCCTATTATTGATGGTTATGCTTGAACAACAGACATAAACTGGGACTGCCCCCAGACAATCTGGATATATCGCTACCCTGTCCCTAAGGAAACTCCTTTGTTGGTAACCACAAATTTCTCTGCTGCAGGCTTAGTTAAAGCCTTGGAGTTGATCACTGTCTCTCCATTGTCCTCCCCGTCACCACCCTGGAAATTGTCAACAACACATTGACCAATCATAGGGGTCTCCTAGGACACAGAGATCATTGATGGCATAGGTTTATCTTTCTAGCTCATTCCAGTTTTGTCTCTCAGCCAAAGATTATGGTAGGAAAAGACTTGAGAAAGAGTACCACCTTCTTCCACTGGGAAATCGTTCAGCAACTCAATTAGTATGCATTTCTGATTTTATGCTAAGGTGAACACACTTTTACTTCTAACTACATACCATCCGCAATCGCATCCTAAAAGAGATAGCATTGTCACGGTAAGCATTCTTCCGGGAGGAGATGCTGAGTGGGTTTTCCTGCTTACCCATTCTTGGGGGGTGTACAAATTCATCCGTCATCTCTTGGAAAATCCTCATCACACAAGGATAATGTCAAATTATTTTTGGAACAAGGTAAGGGTATCAGTGAACAATTTCTTTAATATTGTAGCCCATGTATCACCTCCTGGGTTGGAAGGGGGTCTGGTGAGGATGCTCTAATCTGCCTATCCTCAGTCTCTCTGGGCACAAGCAGCCTCCTCCAGCCCCCTCCTCAGCCTGCCATCGATCAAGTCTTCATTCTTGCTCCTCATTTACCTCTGTCCTTAGACAACTGCATGAAACTCTTAGTAAATGAACTAAGTATGTTTCTTACATTTTCCCTTGGTCCAGGGGAAAGGTAGAAATTAAATGTTTCCACTTTGAAATTTTCAATCAGTATTTGAACCTTTTACCACATAGAGATCTATTTTTGTTTAGTGATCCTGACCTGGAATAAAAGTAATGTTTCTGGTAAAATATTTTAAATAAATCACACAATTTAACACAGAGGCTGTGAGGATTTTGCCCCCTTGGCCTCAACAATAGGACTTTTGTGATAGTAATAATGATGATGATGATGAAAATGTCTTAGTCCTTTTGTGATACTATAACAAACTACCTTAGAATGAGTCATTTATAAACAATAGAAATGCGTCACTCACAGAGGCTGGGAAGTCCCAGATCAAGACCCTGGCAGATTTGGTGTCTGGTGAGAGCCCATTCCTTATAGAGGGTGGCTTCTAACTGGACCCTCACAAGGTAGAAAGGGAAAGGGAGCTCTCTAGGACCTCTTTTACAAGGGTCTTAACTATTTGTGAAGGCTCTGGCCTCATGAACTAATCCCTTCCCAAAGGTTCCGCTTCTTAATATTATCGTATTGGGGATTAGATTTCAGCATGAATTTTGGGGGAGAGACACAAACACTCAAACCACGGCAAATAATGATAGTGATGATAATACTGATAATAATAATAATGCCACTAGAAAGTAAAGTGGAGGCTGAAAGCTGTTGTCTACATTCCTGTCTCCTACACTTGCACCCTGAAAGCAATCCTCTTTATTGCCTCCCACTCCTCTTTAACCCAAGTTGGTCCTACTGGAAACCCACCTTGCAGTTGGTTCCTCCACCCTCCACAGGCTGTGTGCTGTATGTCCCTTTGGGCAAGGACACCTGAGAGCAGCTTCCAGTGACCACATAATTAGGGGTCAGATGAATGGGCAGAGGCAGGGCTGAGTTAGGTCTTGCAGAAGGCATTATGACCCTAGTGACAGAAGTCAGGTTTGAGTGGCAGTGAGGGAAAGAAGTGTGGTAGGATGTGGGGACTGTGTAGGCACCCCTTTCATAGGGTTTCCCTTAAAAGCTGGGCAAACACAAAAGATGACAGCTCTTGTGTATCCAAGAAGTGTTTTTCTTTTAGTTCGTATAGATGCAGTAGAGGGGAATAAGAGATAGAGCAGGTGAGAGAAAGAATTGCTGGAGTCCTGATATGGTTTGGCTTGGTGTCTCCACCCAAATCTCATCTCCAATTGTAATTCCCGTATGTCAAGGGAGGGATCTGGTGGGAGGTGATTAGATCATGGAGGCAGTTTCTCCCATGCTGTTCTTGTGATAGTGAGTGAGTTCTCATGAAATCTGATGGTTTAAAAATGGTGCTTCCCTCTTCTCTGTCTCTCCTATGAGCCTTGGTCGTTTCTATGAAAAAAACATATTAAGTTCAGTAACTTGTTGTGAGTTTTTCATCATTTTTTTTCTCCATTAAACAAACGTAGGCTTAGGTCTTTTGTGTTACTAATTTTTGCTCAATTCATGATGTGAAACCAAGATATAGTCGACCCTCTGTGTTGACGGGTTCAACATCTGAAAATATTCAGGAAAAAAATGTGTCTGATATGAACATGTATAGGCTTTTTTGGTCATTATTCCCTAAACAATATAAGACAACACCCATTTACTTAGCATTTACATTGAGTTAGGTATTACAGGTAATCTAGAGATGATTTAAAGTATATAGCAGGAAATGCAAAGGTTATATGATAATACCATGCCATTTTACATCAATCACTTCAGCATCTGAGGAATTCATATCCACAGAGGGCCTGAAACCAATCCCTCACGGGATACCAAGGGTCAAGTGTATTTGTTAATTACTGCTGAAGTAGCAAATTGTCATTAACTTTAGTGGCTTTAAACAACACTAATTAATTATCTTACACTTTGGGGGAATAAAATATCCAAAATCAAGGTGTCAGCGGGACTGTGTTCCTTTCTAGAGTCTCTAAGTGAGAATCTTTGTTTGCTGTTTTGTTTTGTTTTGTTTTGCATTTTCAAGCTTTAGAAGCTTCCCAGCTTCCTTGGCTTGTGGCTTCTTCATCTCAAAGCCTGCAATGCCTGTCAAGTCATTCTCACATCACATCATGAAGACACTGACTGTTCTGTCTCTCTTTCCAAATTTAATGATCCTTTTGATTACACTGGTCTCATTTACCTAATCTAAGATAACCTCCCTATTTGAAAGTCAGCTGATTAGCAACCTTAATTCTATATGCTAACATTAATTCTCATCTGCTATGTAAAGAAGCATACTCATAGGTTCTAGGAATTAGGATGTGGACATCTTTGGGAGGCCATTATTATGCCTACTACATCTAGTAAAATAAAACTCAGTGGTGTAGCAAATAAATACTTTGGCCACAAAAATTGTCTTTAAGGGAGAAAAATGTCTGTGAATAACTTTTGAGTATATGGACATTGCAAATATCATGGGATATGTAATGTAAACTCTACTTAAACTTCCAGGCACCAGAAGAGCAACAAATTCACTCAAACTAAAAATGTCACACGTTATAAAAATTAAATGATTAAATAAATATACTATTAGACAGGCCTGGGATCAAGGTGAGGTGGTAAGTTTGAGCTGGGCAATAGCAGGATTAGATTCTGTCCTTATTTAAAACTGGAATATTTTGTTGATCATGGGTTACTTTGAATCAATTATTTTTTACAAAAAAAAATACATGCATTATAAGATCATCTATCTTGAGTGCAGAAGTTTTTGATCCCCAAATTTTGCACCTGCATCTGGTGCCTCCCTTGCCTCTTGGCCCTGTTAAAGGATCTAGACAAAATCTCTAGGTCTGATTTTTTTTTCCAATCTTGATACTCTAGGAAATCCAACAGATTATTTTAGATGAAAATGCATTTAGCCAGAGGTTGACGGTATGCACATGAAGTGAAGAGTTAATATCAAGAAGCAGAGAGCTTCATAGACATGTAGGGTATACCTGCAGAGATCATGATTTAACTATCAAACCCTCCCAACGAGAGAGGGCAGGGCTAGGCAGGTATCTTGATGCTTCCCCTTAGAGTCTATGCTGTCTTTCTTCTTAATGTTTGCTCCCCTCTCGTTGTGTTCTGTGCTATATTGCCCTCATTTAACTGTACCTTCTAAAGGACCTGTTTTTAAGAGCTTTTACATGAATCGAAATTATGTCTAGATGTGAGGAAATGCTTTGTGCAATTCAATTTTGCCATTAAATGTATAATAATTATGAAGTAACACCTCTTCCTCAATGACCAGTGCATACATGAATAAGAGAAAGTCCATACCTGCAGAGAGCTCATAGACTAATGGAGAAGTAAAACTGTATCCACATGAGCAGGAGGCACAATTGCATAAGCAGCCTAAATCAGAAGGAGGGAGTGCTTGTGAAGAAGAGGAGGTCAGGGCGTTCCCTCCTTAGAGGATCACCCTGATTCCAGGAGGAAAAAGGTCTTTGAGCTGGGACAATAATGAGTCACAGTCTTCAGGGAAGATATGGGGTAGGTGAGGGCATGCAAGGAGAGGAAGTAGGAGGAGCAAAGCACAGGTTATAGGAAAACAATGGGAATAATTGGGAAGGTCAAGGGACCTAAAGGGAACAGATGTCAATGAACCTGGAAAGCATCCCAGGTTCTGGGAACTAAGCCTCCCCCAATCACAGCAGTGCCAGTCTCCTTGTCAGAAACGTACGACTCATAATCATTCACTCACAACTCATGATCATGATGGAAAAGCTCAGGCTTGGACAAGAAACTCACCGTGGATTTATTCAAGATGATACTGACACAGACTTTGTGTCTTTCTGACATGGGGTTTGGAATTCTAACATCCTATTGCTCTTGTTGGTTTTGGGTTACTGGAGGAGCAACCCAAAAAATTTCTCCTGTACCATCCCTGACCTCTGGTCTGGGGAGCTGGGAAGGACATTCCAAGGATGTCAGAGATTGGCTTGTCCAAAACCAACATTACACAGTCACAATTACAATTACTAAGACCAAGATTCCACGTCTTTGAACACCGTAGCTTAATTTGGTTTACATGTCGCATGTCTCTGCTGAGGGAGCCCTTTCTGAACCCACATCAACCACAGCAACTTCTTGGACTCCTCATTACTTTTTGCAGCATTTTATTCTGTCATGGCCATAGGTGCCAATCTGTTTCAAGCTTGTAGAGCAAACATTCAGAACACACACACCTTTATTCCTGTGTCAGCTAGCAGGATTTCTTATATCTTTAGAAAAAACCTGAAGAAAGGAAAAAATGAAAAAAGAAAAAAAAAAAAGAAGCAATAAACGATAAGCAAACCAAAGAACAATAGGAGCGATAGGGTGTTGGAATTCAAAATCCCAAGTTAGAAAGGCACAAAGCCTGTGTCAGTATAATCTTGAATCAGTCTGCGGTGAGTTTCTTTTCCAAGTCTGGGCTTTTCCATCATGATCATGAGACATGATCATTATGTGAATGATTATGTGAACCTCAGTTCTTAAAAGGAGGCTGGCCCTGCTGTGGTTTGGGGATGCTTAGTTCCTGGAACCAGAATGTGAAAGACTGATCTCTGCTAAGTGACCAGGGCCTCCAGATGGGCTCAGGTAGGAGCTCAACAAGGATTTTTCAGAATTCAGCTCCACCACAAAAAAATAACCTCAAAGCTACCCTACCTCCATTTACACACACAGGCCAGTAACCTCTGTTTTCCAAATCATGAAGTCCATTAAGTATTTGAACTGAGATGGAAGAAAAAGATGTGGCTCAAAGGGTAGAAAATGTTTAATGTGAATTTAATATAAAAGTACCTTAGGACCGGGCCCAGTGGCTCACGCCTCTAATCCCAGTATTTTGGGAGACTCAGCTGGGTGGATCACCTGAGGTCAGGAGTTTGAGACCAGCCTGGCCAACCTGGTGAAACCTGTCTCTACTAAAAATACAAAAATTAGCTGGGTGTGGCGGTGGGCACCTGTAATCCCAGCTACTCAGGAGGCTGAGGCAGGAGAATCACTTGAACCTGGGAGGTGGAAGTTGCAGTGAGCCAAGATAGCACCATTGCATTCCAGCCTAGGTGACAGACGAGACTCCGTCTCAAAATAAAAATAAAAAAAAAAAAAAAAAAAAAAAAGGAGGGACAGGGAGGGGTAGGGGGAGGGAGGAGGCTGGGAATAAAAAAAAAAAGAAAAGAAAAATAAAGTAGCTTACAATTAAAAACAATAATTAACAGTAGAAGTAAACCTTTGTAATGAATTGTTTCTAATCTCTAAATTCTGTTCTCCATCTCACCCTTCCATTTGTCCTCCCTCCTTCCCCTCCTCCCTCCCTCCCTTTTGTCTCTTCCTTCCTACTCTCCTAAATGGTGGAATATCGCCAGTGTCTGGTGCCTCCAGGAACGCTGCTGCTTCTCTATAACCCAAACCCATAACCAATATGGATAAAATGAGGCTTTTCCAATGTAATTTCTATCAGATTTGATATCCCAGGTCTTGGTCTCAAATTATCTTTCTCTCTCCCTCCCTTCCACTCTCCTTTTCTTCTTCACCCTTTTATTTTATTCTTATAATATCAAGGAGAAATAAAATTAGGCATTCAATTTAAAAGTGGCGTTCAATAGGCTTTTTTGTTCTGTGAACCTAGAGCAGCCACAGAGGGTAAGCGTTCTCCAGGGCCTTCCATCTGAAAGACGAAGGGCCCGTGTCCCAAACACAACTTCCCAAAGTACAGGCTGTGCCTTATCATTCCCTAAAATTCTCTAGGTCACTCAAATCTACACTTTAAATTCAAAAATTTAGAAAATGACATTCTATATTTACTTCTTTGGATAAAATCAAAATTTCTCGCTTTTATTGAAAAATAAAAGTCACCTGACAGGTTTCAACCATCGTTTTAGCGG